GGGCAATTCCTTCTTTTGTGCAAAATCACGGTGCTTGAGCACATGGTCCCAAACATGTTTGTCCGAGAACTGATTTTCCCCTGCGCAGCCCGCTTGACCCCAGGAAGCCGGGAGAGAGAGTCCAGGCTGCCCGGGCAGTTGATGCTTGAATTCATGGGCCCCTGCCCCTTCAGGATTCAGTTGGATGTGAGTCAGACCAGCAAACAGAAGGCCATCCCCTGGGCCTCCTCTCCCCCCGGGTGTGTGGGAGCACAGGACAGTGCCCGTCCACGGGGTGCTGGGGGCAGGTTCTCCCCAAGCACAGGGGCGGGACTTTGTTCCAAAGCACGAGTTGATCGTGTGTGTGTGTGTGTGTGTGTGAGTGATGCACAGAGACAGCACACTGCGTGTAGAGCGTTTCAGAGCTGGACCTGGCATTAGCAGACTGCCGGGCTTTTCCTCCGGGTTCTCTCTAGTGGGAGGGGAGGCGGTTCAAATCCCCAACCTGTTCAGGAAGCTGCTGTGCCATCCGGGACCCCTTCAGCCACACCTTCCAGCGCGGAAAACGCCAGGAACTTACCTATTAAGCCAGTGGCGTAGCCCTCGTCTCGAAGTATTTTGGCGAAAGTGGTCTCGTTGGCGGGGAGGCCCCCGGAGGCCGCTGTCCACAGCAGGACTCGGTTGCCTTTAGAGGACACCATGCCTGTGGGCAGAGGGTTGCACGGGCATGAGAAGCCGGCCGTGAGTCTGCAGCTGCTGTGATTGGCTGAGTTTACTGACGGATGTCCAGGGACACTTCTGACCCAAAGGGGCGGCCCCTTTTGAGTTACGGTCGATGGAGAAGGCCCTGCGAGTCTCAGTCTCTTGATGGGTCTCCCAGACTGTCAGTCTGTACGGGAGCAGACACTCTGGTCTTTCTCCAGAGAGCTAATGGATAGAGAGATATGTAGATAGATGATGGATAGATAGATAAACACACTGCCATCGAGTGGACGCCGACTCACAGCGACCCTGCAGGACAGGGCAGCGCTGCCCCTGGGGGTCTCCCAGGCTGTCAGTCTGCACGGGAGCAGAGTCTCATCTTCCTCCTTTGGAAGAACTGTGGTTTGAAACTGCCGACCATGTGGGTCGCAGCCCAGTGCTTAACCACTGTGTCACCAGGGATCCTCACATACATATGCATACGTGTATACAGTGAACCCTCGTTTATCGCGGTTAATCGGTTCTAG